CAAAATAGTGAAGCAAACACATTTCCTGACAGCGCGGAGATACCGTGTTGGGAGTGACTTGTCATGCTTAGTCACTGTAATTGCTCTAGCAAAACTGAGGAATCAAATAAAACGTGTTTGCAAATTGTAAATCACCAAGGCCTCTTTAGACGGGTCCTAACCTGATGCTGAAGGTCACAGCGGCTCCCTCTGGGGCAGGCGCCCCATCCCTGACACTCCTTTGCTCCCATTCGTGGGCAGGGGTTGTGCTGCCACGTCCAACTGTGACCACTGCCCAAAGCGGGAAGAAAAGGCTGCATAATCAGCCACATTTCCCCACCAGCGAGAGCCGTGTGGGTTCCTTGGGGGGCACCAGGGAGAGCACTCTGATGGTTTGAAGGGAGATGGGGGCTCTCTGAGGCCTCCATGGCTGGGCAGGGAAAGGCTAGTGGCCACTCGGAAAGGATAGGCTTTCTTTCTGGGGAAAGATTGGTTGCCACTTGCCAAGGAGCAGAAATATCTTTGGATCTAGAGTGCTTGGGACAGGCCATGATGGTTCCCTTTAAGACCTGTTTGGGTCCCTGGGTGACATGTCCTGGTCCTAGGCCACCACTAGACCACTGCAGTTGGCCACTGGTGTTCCCATCCATGGGCCATAGTCCCTCAATAAAGACTTTGTCAGTCATCCTGGAGAGACACAAACCCTGAGAGATCTTTACAGCAGAAATGCGTAATCCCAGCTGTCCTGTGCCTTGGAGCAGCTCCGGTGCCTCTCCCCACCTTCTCCCCTCTCCTCGAAATCCCACCTCTTTCCTGTACACTTTCCCTGAGCATAGCTGTCTCATTGGGGCTTGGCTAGAGCCTGGTTCTGGTGGTAAATAACACAGAGGTGTTGAGGATTATCTAGAACCAGCTTACCTTTCTTAGAATTCTTGCATTTCAAAATTAAATTCGTAGAAGACATGACTCGTGGAATGAGCGTTATTTCTGTTACCCTGGGTTGCTTCCCACAATGGTGACCCTGGTCCCTCAAGCCCCTGCTTGGTGCACCTCAGGCCAATCCAATGTACCCTTGAATGGAAAGGAGAGGGTGAGGATGTTTTTTAAAGGAGGGGAGAGATGAGTTGCAGAGAGATCCACGCATTCGCACGCGTGTTGAAGACCTGCTGTGGGCCGGACACTGGACGTCCATTGAGGCCAAGTTCAGCAGGAGGCCAAGACAAGCAGGATCCCAGGTGCGTTCCTGTGATTCAGCCTCAGCAACCCATGGTGACCTCAGGGAGATCAGTTTCCAAGGAGGCTGAGGGTGAGGGTGAAGATGGAAGCAAGGAGACGGGGAAGATTGAAGGTCAGAAAATGGCTCTCTGGGTACGTAAGAATCACAAAGGATGTTTTCAAAACAATCCAATTCCTGTCCCAACTTGTTGGATATGAAAAAACTACATCTTTAAGTCCATCTCAGGCTAGCCTCCAGACCACAGTCTGAAAAATGGGGCTAGGGAAGGGTCTGGTTGCTTAGGTTTGCCTAGAAAAAGCCTTCAGAAGCAAAAGATTCTTCTCCTGTGGGCGTCGCCGAGCCCCTTCCAGCCCCTCAAGGCAGCCAGGCAGTGTGGACCCTGTGCCCTGCTCCTCTAGCAATCATTTCGGCTTCTGCGAGCTCTGCTGGTCTTGCCGCAAGTGCCCACCGCTCTGAAATACAATGGGAGCCTCTGGGTGCAGGCCCCACAGGGTCCCCAGTACCATCTTCTGCTGTTCTCAGGTATGGCTTGGGCACAGTGAATGAAGAGAAAGGACATCTGTGCAAGCTCCCTGGGTGCAGGGAGGCCTGTTCCTAGTGGGTGGGGCTAGAAGGCTAGAAAAATAATAAATAAAAACAAAGTAAAGGGAAGCAAAGCTCTTGGGTGCCAGAATGGGCCAAGGCTGTGGCTGCCTGAGTAATGGGTTCCACATTTGTTTGGCTCTGTCTGCAGCGACCAGGATCCTGGATGCACAGAGGGCCTTGCAGGGGCTGCAGGGGGAAGCCCCGACGAGGACAGACCTAGGCAGACCCTTGCGATGGCCTCATTGCCCCCAGGCTGACCACAACGCAGCGAGCTCATCATGGTCCAGCACCTCTCCCTCCTCCCTGCCCCCGCCCGAGGCTCCTGGGTCCCTGCCGGCCTGCACAGATTGTTCGTGTTATTAATGCCGATTTCCCAGAGATTCCATCTGGCTTTTTAATTGCTCTGGGATGGGGCTAGGATGCTTTGATAGTGAATTGGTATCTTTCCTATGTCTCTGCTTACGTCAAATGCTCCATCCACGGAGGGGGTATGGAGGAGGGGGAGAAAGGGGGGCGTTGAAAGATGGGAGATAGTACAAGTCTTTTACAGAGACAGGAAAAATCTTTCAAAGGTGCTGGTGGTTTAGTTTAATTTAAACAAAAGAAAATAAGAGAAAAGCCTACCCTTACTCACCAGCATAAGAAAGAACCAGATGGGACACCCCCTCTGTCCAGGCAAAGATCCTGCCCCGTGTCTGTGGAAGGCCTGTGGGTGCCTGGAAGGAGGCCTCCTGTCTGAGCAAGGTCAAAGTTTCTGCTCCCTCTTGGCCTGCACCAAGAGTGACCTCCCTCTTCCTCTCCCCACTGCCCCATCTCCTCCCATGAAATCAGCTGCTCATGGAGGAGGCCTGGCAGGTTTCTGCCCGGGGAAGGAGGGGGCGGGAGGCCTGGGAGGGGCAGATACTCCCTACCAGTCCCAATGGCTCATCACAGGTGTCAGGGCCCAATGCCATGTTCACAGATTCCCAGGAGATCCAAGAGATAAGGGTGACATTCGTGACAATGCTAAACCATCAGGAGGCATCTGGCAGCAAAGGAGTGCCTCCCTTTCTCCTTTCTGCCCTTACTCCTTCCCTGGAGGCTGGGTCCCCTGAACAGTGCTCTCAGGGCACACCAGGCTCTGGTGGCCCACCAAGGGCGTGAAGTCCCTGCTAACTCTCATGGGAGAGTGCAAGGCAGAAGCATCCAGGCCTGTTGGGTTGGGTCCATGGCTGCACTGGGTGAAAGCTGCTACCTCCAGGAAGCCTTCCCTGGTGGCCTCTATTCACACTTTGAGCTCCCTCTTATTATACTTGTCACCCTTAAAGCACATTTGGATGTCACAAGGTTATAAGATCCCCAAGAGTAGGAGCCGAGTCTGCTTGTTCCCAGTTGAGTGCTCCGTCCTAGGCACAGGCCCTGGCATACAGTTGGTATCCAATATATACTTTGGGTGTGTTTGGTGCCAGGCTTGTGGACTGGCTCTTCATGAAGGCTGAAGGAGGGGAACTGTGTATGTGCTGGGGGGGGTGGTTTGCAGAAAGCAGTGGGTGGTGAAGAGGGGCTCTCCCCAGGGGCCTCTCTGGCTGGGCAAAGAACATGAGCTGGGCAGGTTCACCCCTTGGTGAACCATAGCAGGCTGCTATGTCTATTAGGGTGCACACAGGGGGGCCCCCAACCCCATTCCTTTCCTGGGGCTGGCTGTGGTTGGATTATCTTGTCCCCAACAAAGCCTGCCTCGGACCTAAGGATCTGCGGTAGGATGGTGCCCTTTCTGGAGCTGACAGCTTTGAAAGAGAAAATCCCTGGAAATGGGACTGTAGGAGGGGAGGGGCAGGAGTGAGGGCAGGAGAGGCGCCCCTCCCCCACTCATCCTGGGACCTGTTCAGGGGGCAAAGGGGGAAGCCAAGGCTTGGCCCCCTCAAACAAGAAAAACTGGAATTAGCACTGAACTCCAAGAGGGTTTGCTGGGGCCTAGCAAGCTGGGGCCTGCCCCAGGCCTCTAGGCAGGCGGTGGGGCTCTGCCTCCTTGGTTCCCAGGCAGCAGGGCAGGCTGCCGCCTCCTCAATGGGCTCATGGCCTTTCCTCTGCCAAGGGCGGCCATGGGTGAGGAGGCGGCAAGACACAAGACGGAAAGGGGGGAGCGGGAAGGGGGCAGGTCACCTCCATTAACCACACAGTCAGGTACAGCTAAAGCTTTCAGAGTTTAAGAAGCATGTGTAATTTCTTGAAACTGCCCCAGCCCACAATGGCATATACTATAAGCTGCTCAAGTGAACGCTTGGGGGTGGGGGGCGGGAAACAGAAGGTAAAAAGTGTTTTGCCTTTTGCCTTCAAAAAGTCAACTCTGAAAGCCCTGCCAGCCCCCTGGGTTGTTTCCTCCCAGGCCCTGCTCTTTCAGGCATGAAGGTGCATCCTTCCTTGGTTGGCTATCACTACTGCTAGGAGGGTCTCGGGGTGCCTGTCCTTGGAGCAGTTGTCCAAGTGGGGGACTTGTTGCAGGTTGGACACAGTGGGCAGCATGGGCGTTGGGCTGGCTCCGGGTGGTGTGTGGGGAAGGGCCAGACACTCATTGCAGCCCTGCTGTGGGCCCTTTCTGGGTGGGCTGGGGCAGGGAAGGTGTGCAAGGCCGGTGGAGGGGCGCCCGGTCTTCAGGCTGCCTTTCAGGGCCCTGCTGAGGTAGGCAGCAGCCACATGGCCCAGAGCAAGGGGGAAGGGGTGGGAGGTCCCACAGCTTGAGGCCTCTCCCTGCCTGCCCAGGGTCCTGCTGGGGCGAAGGCAGGTGTGAGTGAAGCTGCTCTAGAGCTGGAGCTGTGAGTGTTTGGAAGTGAGTGTGGCCAAAGGGCCCCCGGAGCCTGGAGCTGCTGGACGCGGCCTGCCCAAGTCCCAAAGAGGCTGTGGCAACTTCAAGTTGGGGACTCCCTCCCTGAATCCCTCTTCTCCCAAAGGGCCATGAGAGGCCACACCAAGGTCCCATGACCCCCTGTCCCCCAAAACAGTCTCCAACCAGGAGACTCTCTTCAGGCTTTGGCGTTCTTAGCCTGGAGCCTTGTCCTCCTTCTGCCATTTATTTACCTTGGTTGGGAGAAGTCACTCACGCCTTTAATGTAAAGAGGGGCTCGGATGGGTGGGGAGTGAATGAAAGTCAGGCTCTCAGCCAGAAAAAATGCTGTGATTATTTACAAATGTGACCTGGCTCACGGAAAACTGTGGAAGTAACTTTTCTGGTTTTAAAAACACACCAACATTTACTTTGATATGCTTATATTATAGACATAATACATAAAACATCTAGCATGAAACTCTACGTTCTCCCCAAAAGGAGAACCAAGCCATCCTTTCCTGCTCCCAAGCCCAGCGATGTGTGTGCTGGCTGGAGGCCGCCTCCCTTCCAGTCCGGGAGCCAGGCCTCTGTGGGAGACAAGCCTGTGGGCAGCTTGGGGCCGGAGGGGACCAAGGCCCACAGCCACCCCAGGGAATGCTGAGGGGAAAGGGGAAGCCCATCTTGCCTCTTTGGTTCCCCTGGGAGCAAAAGCAATCCCCAAACCAAAAGGAAAAGACCCTCCCTGCAGCTGCTGACGAAGAGTCTCATTTTGGCAAGTATCTGAGCAAAACCAAAACAAAACAAAAACCAAAGAAAATGGTGGTTTAGCATAGACATGCTCATTCACATTGCACAAGGCTCCACTGGGACACAGAGCCAGATACAAATGTTGATATCGGCTGATAAAGCAAAATATTTGGAGAGCTTCTCATAACTTGGGTCCCTCCGGGATGGACTGACTGAGCTTCATGTTTGTATGGCAATGCTGGCGACATACAGTACAGACATGGCTAATGGTCCCAGTGTCCCTTCACCCCTCCCCCAACCCCCAGACCGGACCTCTAGGTTCCCCTCTTCCACCAGGCCCCCACTCCCATGAACATATGTCCTTATAGCTAATCCACACTTAGCTTTCTGGTTTGACCCGGGGCGAGGTCTCCCACTGGTCACATGGTGACTTCGATCTCAGGGAGTTCTGCCCTGGAAGCCCAGTCTGTTGTAGGCTGGGATCTTAGAGACAAGGAACTGGGGACCCTCCACCTTCATGTAGAACTAGGGGTGCAACCTTAGGTTCAAAGCCTCAGACCCCTGTTTCCTCCCCTCCAAGGACAAGGAGCTGAGGAGCGGCTGGGGCTGCTTTGGAGGATCTCTGCTCCCTGAACCTTCTTCCAGCCGGAAGCCTGCACCCTTCCTTCTCTCATAGGGGCCTGCTGCAGCCTTGCAGCCTTGGGACCAAGGCAGAAGCCCTCCAAATAAAATGACAAGGCACATATTTGCTCCCCCTACTTGGTAGGAATCAGAGCGGTGAGTTTGCATTTCCAAGGCACAAGGTTATTCCTTAATACTAGAGTTGCCAGGCTCCCGGCTTGGCCCCGCGGCGCTTCTCCTCTCTTACAAGGAGAAACTACTGCCTGACCCTTTATCTCAGACGCACCGTGTCCCGCGCAGGAGAAGGCAAGGGGCACGCGCGACAGTCCAGGCTTTCAGGCGGCATCGGAATCTCCTAGTCCTGGCATGCGCGGCCCGGGCAGTCTTGAGATCCGGAGACCCGAAAGCACTCCCTGGGTCCCAGCCAGGGGCCGGCCCAAGGCGGTCCGGCCGCGGCGCGCCTCACGCGCAGTTGCCCATGGCCTTGACCAGGGAGCTCTCGGGCAGCTGGCGGAAGATGCCCCGCAGAGTGTCGAGTTCGCGGCTCAGCTGTTCCACCCGCTTGCGCAGGCGGTCATTGTCACTGGTCAGCTCCAGCACCTTCTGCTGCGTCTCCACGTTGCGCTGCTTGGCCTTGTCCCGGCTCTTGCGCACCGCGATGTTGTTGCGCTCGCGCCGCACCCGGTACTCATTGCTGTTCTTGTCCACCGACTTCTTGGCTTTGCCC